ATATTTTACATATGTGAAAAGTGTCAATTTAGGGTAGAGGGATAGATAGGGTGCTAATTTCACTAGTATCAGAGTAGTCTATAAAAGGATTCTTAGGATCTGTATGCATTCATGGAAAACTTGGAATTTTTTTTATTTGTATGTCAGGAATAATTTATATACATTTATAAGAGAGATAATTATTTGCTTGGCAAAATGTGTTTGTGTACATGTGTGGATACTGAGATACTATGTATTTTAGTTCTAGTGAGGAATCCTAGGTGCAATAGACTAAATTTTTGCACTAAAATTTCCAGTTTTATTTCAGTTTTTTATTTGTGCCAACAGATGTTTTAGGTGATTTATTTAATCAGGAGTTAATTTGTATTTTAACAATTTCACATGTCTTAAGAGGGAAGTCTCCTGAAATATGCTTTATTTATGTCCTTGACATTTTTGGCCTCTAAAAGCTCATTCTTATTATCCAGTTCCAGTTTATTTGGGAAGCTACTAAGGTACAATCATTTATAAATGATACCATCCAATTTATCTTCAAAGGAATTTCTGGCTACATTTGGCCACCGTTTCTCTGGCAAGTCCCCTAATTGAATGACAATAGAAAGTCTTATATCATTCTCTGGAATACATCAGTTTAAAGATGCATATCTCCTATTGGACAAACTTTCAATTATCCTACATTTTAGATGAAAACACTTGGGGTAATTATCTAGATATTTCAAACAATTTTAAATCATCATCTTCTTTGAAAGATGTCCAAGTATCCTGTCTTTGAAATCTCCATTCTTTAAGTCACCTGAAGACTGTCCATCTCCCTATAGTTAATATAAAAATAAATACATAAAGTGATCCCAGCTTAAATTGCTACTATGGACAGGCATGTCTGTGTTGCCCTATGCTTTATTATCTCCCTGGGGTTTTATACCTGGGAGGACATGAAAGGCATATATGCCAAAGAAAAAGTTGTTCTATACTGATTGCCATAAGGAAAGGTTTTTAAACCAGTCTCAGGAGAGATGGTTTTTGACACAGAGATATGCTGTAACAGGATGACATCAAAAAGATTTTCCTCCCATTCATATGTACTCCTTGATTAACTCAGTTTGGCAGAATAGAAGGTCATTGGTATGTAAAAAAGATAAGGAAACCTGTGGACCGGGAGTCCAGTGATGGACTATGCACAGAGAATGAAGAATATTTCAGTTACAATATTATTATAGAAATCTCAAAATTATATTTCAGGGCAGAACATTCCCCTGGCAGGAACTCAGAGTTGAGGGTCTCCTGGTAGTTCAGTTTCTGTTCAACATGTAATAAAATATTGGTTCTTGTTGCTATTAAACCAAACAGCAGAAATACCATCAGTGTTTTATATTTTTATCAAGAATTGGGAAGATAAACCATGTTTAGAAAGGAAGTGAAATAAAATGAGCTCTTACGGTCAAAGAATTTCTTCAAATGAGCTAAACAAGAGAATAAATTGTAGCACCACATTTTCAGGTGTACCACGGGTGAGCCCCTGCCTGCCCTGAGCTCGGTGATGGATGATGTTTTCCTGTTACTGCACCAAAGGGAGCTGATAATGGGATGTGGTCTGTATTGTTAGTTTCTTAGAATAAGCATGGTATTGTTTGCCTAGTTTCATTTCAAAAGTGTGCCAGATTTCCCTCATGGTCTATAGTTTTCCCCTTATATTCTCTTTTAACACAATCTGCTTAAAACAACATTCTTATATTTGTGTTTAGGGGCTACAAGAAGGACTTTGAAATAGAATAACAAAAATTCCATTGAAAGCTTGCAAAAGGCTTCCTGAATTATGGCTTTAAGTCTTAAAAGTTATCTTTTTTTTTTTTTTTTTTTGCACTTTTTGACCTGGGCTGGGTTTCAACAGCATATGGGGTAAAAGTTATCTTTTAAACAAGGCATTTAGGTAGTTTTTATGCGTGTTTGTGTATCTTTCTATAAGTAGAAATTCATTACTGTACAGGTCATGGGCTTTTGCCCTAACACTTGTATTAAATGGTTAATGTGAGATGACTTAGTGACACTCTGGAGAAGTATGAGGGGCATAGTTACTTCCTATTGCATGACAGGTCAGTGAAGCTGTATTATTTCTTTCATGTGTGGGAATAAAAGTCACTATGTGCAAGTCAAGTTTCCTTTTTCCCATCTCCTAACTTACAGCCACTTAATAGAAGCCTCACAATAGTCCTTTACTTAGAGTTAATTATGTAGGATTGCCTTACAAGATTGTAGATAACCTTGTAAGATTTGGCTGCCTAAACCTTCCTTGGGGTGAGATGTCTTGATTTACGTTAAAGTTGCTCATAATGACATTTATGACGAATTCTACTTTAATATGTTTTTGTTTCCAGTGATATTTGACTACCATTTGGAGTGATTTTCAACTGGTGTGCCAGGGTGCACTGGTGTGCTGCAAGAGGATCTTAGACACGCTGTGAAAAATTTTAAAGATCATTAATTAAATTATTTTTGAAAGAAGTTCATGGCAAAGTATATTCTTCTTCTTTGACTTTTTTTTTTGATCAACATAATTTAAGTGTGCCACAGACATTTAACTAGAGCAGGGGTCCTCAAACTTTTTAAACAGGGGGCCAGTTCACTGTCCCTCAGATTGTTGGAGGGCTGGACTGCAGGCCCCTGGACAAGTCAGCTGCTCCAGCAGGCTGGATAAATGTCCTCAACAGGCCGCATGTGGCCCTGGGGCTGTAGTTTGAGGATGCCTGAACTAGAGGTTCAAGCATACTGTGAGATGAAAAAGATTGAAAAACACTGATTTAAGGACTAGGCTATATCTGGATTATGAACATTTGGGGAATAAGAGATCCTTAAAAGTAGTGGCGTAAAAAAAGAAATATGTTTTGCCTTATAACTATTGAATGGAGTTAAGAGGGGAAGTAAAATTACTAAAGGCCCCCCATTTTTTGCAATGGAAGCAGCATAATTGAGATACTTACCAAATTTTAATTTTGTGTTAATGGGAAATAGAGGACTTTGCTAACATTACTTCATTTACAAGAGGTACCTCATGAGGAGAATGGGCAATATGCCCACATCTTTTTTCAAGGTTGTATGTGGCTGGAGGACCAAAGGGAGTTCTAAATCTTAATGGAGAAAAAGGATTCTTTCTAAGAAAGGTTGTAAATTTGCATTACAACCTTAGAAGGCTGGTATTCATCTTATATGTGGATTAGGTGAAAACTAAGTGATAAGTCACCTGTTTGGAAGAATTTTTTTCATAAATACACTTTCTCTAGATAACTTAGAATTATATTACTGACTATCAGTTTAGACTAAGGAAAGCAAATGGTTTTTACATTGTGTTATAGCAGCTTCACAGGATAGGATTTAATACATTTTTATGGATAAAATCAACAGTGTTTGATTATTGTATGTGAGTTATGAGAAGAATTTTTCCCTTCACAGTTACATGATTCAAGATCTGGAGTCCTTAAATTTGATCTGGGACATTCACCTAATTTTGTTCCTGTGTGCCAAAACAAAATTATTTTGTGAAGTAAAGTTATTTAATTTACCCACTAATACCTGACTCGAGAATATTTCACATTGCTCAGTCAAGAGTTATTCAACATTAATTTGATATTATTGAGAAACTTTGGGGCCTAAAAGTTTGTATTTCATATTTTTCTTATTATATGCACATATTTATATTTATGTTTCATAGATTTTATTTAAGATAGGCATGTGGCAAAGTTTATATTAAACTACCATGGACTTGGAGCTCAAGATCTGGACTAAAAAGAGAATAAAACCTTTTTTATGATCTATGTTCATTATAACTCATGATGCTGGTTAGTAAGATATATAGCCTATTCTCATAATCATTTCTAGTGTATAGGTTTTCTTGGAGGTAAGGTATTGTTTTTGTGAATAAAAACTATCTTAAATATATGATAAGAATAATTAAAATGTGTCAGTATAATAAAAAATATGGAGTTGAAAAATATTAATTTTTAGGTTTTCTTTGATGACTGATTCCCATCCATTGTATGGAGAAATAAATACAGATTAGAAAAAGAAAATCATTTTCTGTTATGTAGACTTAATTTCATTATCCATGGACAGGTATAGAGTCTTGATTCTTTACCTACATATTTTACTGCAGTTCAGATCCTAAAGCACTGGTTCTCAACCTTCCTAATGCCACAGTGCATTTTCATTGTTAAAAAGGTGTCGTAACCCACAGGTTGAGAAATGCTGTCCTGAAGAATCTTTAAGTTCTTTGTCATTTCCATTGAACAACAGCAACAAACAACTAAAACAATTATTGTAATCCCAGTTACAATGAGCTATGTTGCAAAAGTTCAGTTTTTATACATAGTCTTATTTCATTTCTGTAATAATCCTGTGGTCTGTGCAGTTATGACCACTGTCCAGGTGATAAAGTGAGGCTCAGAGAGATTTAATGAGTTGGTCAAAATTGAAAGAGCCCCTAAGTGATGGCTCCATTACCTGTCATCTTCTGTTGGCCTGTGCTGTGTGAAGCTCTGCATTACAAATGTGGACATACTTGATTGCCTCCTTACCAGTTATTAATGAAATACCTTTAAGCCTAGCTCTGTGTCTTACTTACTTCATAAGTATTCACAATGCTGAGTTTTCTTCTTTTACAAAGAAATTAAGTGCTACTTTCTTTCTTTTTCTGGAGATGGAGTCTTACTTTGTGACCCTTAGTAGAGTAGAGTACTGTGGAATCATAGCTCACAGCAACCTCCACCAACCCCTGGGTCCTTGGGTTTAAGTGATACTCTAGCCTCAGCCTCCCAAGTAGCTGGGTTCACAGGTGCCTGTCAGAACACCTGGCAATTTTTGGTAGAGATGGGGTCTCACTCTGGCTCATGCTGGTCTCCAACCTCTGAGCTAAGGGCAATCCACCCGCCTCAGCCTCCCAGGGTGCTAGGATTACAGGCGTGAGCCACCATGCCGGCTTAAGTGCTACTTTCTTTTAAAACTTAATTAAAATGCTTTTGTTAATTCATAAACATGATGATTGGGTTTTCACACTCCTGTGGTGTGAGTTATGCCTCCCTCAAACCTTGTTATGATGTTAGCACATTACCTGTCTGACATGAAAAAAATTTAATAAAGGAAGAAAAGGCAATGATTTATCACATAGCTGACAATGAACTTGTTAAATTGTACTGAAATTATTTGAGAAATTTTTGATATTTGTTCTTTAATTTATTTTTTAAGTCTTCTACTCGGTAATACCTTATTTATGGTCCACCTTACCAATGTACCTCACCTCTTGAGTCACTCTCATCATGTTTTCATTTATAGCATTTAAGACTACCACAAATTATTTCCTTTCTATTTATTGCCCACAACCTATCACTTCCCCTAGAATGTTAGCTTTATTAGAGTAGCTTCCTGTTTTGTTCATAACTAAGTCTTCAACGCTTAGCCATAATAGTGCCTGGAACTGTACTTCAATAAATATCTACTGATGGAATGGATGAATATCAGTTGTTTTTAATATACATTCACATAAAATCATTATAAATTAAAAAAAACCTGTGCTGTACAAGATGCTCATTTGTGACCCTGGTTTTTCTGAGTTTATTTAATACAATTGTGTGAGTGAACTATTGAGTGATGATATAAGCTTGGAAGATGGAGAAATGCATGTGTGCGTCTGTGTGTATGTTTAATTCAAGAGATTACCAACTATAATAAAACCTACTTAAAAACACCAGCATATTTCAAAAGATATAATTAAATATATATATATAT